CGTTCCGCGCAGCGCAGTTCTTTCCTGCTTCGCATCCGGCGAACAGTCAAAGCACTTCCTCTTCCCGCATCTTTTGTAAACTGCATACATATATAGCCCGAACTCACGGCGAACCTCGGGCTCAGTTTCTAGTCCAACATTCCCAAGTGAACTTGTCACCCGGCTGAGGATAGTTGCGCAGTGCTGCTGCTGCTGGTGCTTCGGATAATGGACTTGATCCATTATTCCTGTGGGTGGATATAATAATAAGAGTCCATCATCCAGGAAACTGTTGAGCTATACTGTATTTACTCAAGTAATTTAAGAGGTGCACCAGGGATTTCAAATTGAAAATATTGATAAAATTGTTTCCTATAGATTAAGACACAAACTATTTTTATTGACCCTTGTAGAACCAAAATATTTGAAAGATAAGAACACCCAAATTTGAATTCAGTCATGAATTTAAGCTTAATTCAGCTAATTTTCAATTACTGCCATAAAACAATTTTCTGCTATACTTGGTCCAAAATTTCCCATTAGAATCAAGTATTGTACAGTTGAACCTCAATAACTCAGACCTCCCTAAGTTGATTTTTGTTAAAGTTCCTATTTGAATTTCATTATAAAAAATGCATTAAAAATATCTATAACATATCTAAAAAATATCTATATCTATACAATGTTTCTGCTACACTCAATCCAGAAGTTCCCATTCAAATCAAGTACAATTGAACCTCAGTAACTCAGACCTCCTTGAGTTGATTTTTGTTGAAGTTCCTATCTGAATTTCATTAGAAAAAATACATTAAAATATCTATAACTTAAAAGCTTTTGCTCTCAAACATCTGTAACTAAAATTTTCTGAGGCGTATCTGCTATTATTTTTTTATGTAAAAGAGAGAGAAGCAAGAAAAAAGTAACTGAGCTGTTTTGATTGAAAGGAAAAAGATAGAATGATTGGGCAAATGAACCCTGCCAAAGTTCAGCATCCCTTCAACTCATTTAAAAAGCAATTCAAGGCCCAAACTGTATGACCATATACAATTTCCTGCTTTTCCCTCAATTGCTTCCCAAGCTTGAAATCTGCCTAAGTTGAATTTTTTTGCTGGTCCCTTGAAATTTGACTTTGAGAAGTCTTACTGTATAATGCAAAATCCCTGAAACTTCAAAAAAGATTATAAAACTGCAATTGAAATTTAGCTTGACATTCCAGATAATGGACTTTTCACATGAATGGATCATGCTAATTATACAGAATGTCAAGCTAAATTCAACCTTATGGTACTGCGATGCTTCAGATAATGTTCTAGATCCATTCCTGTCATTAAGTCCATATTGTTTGGAGAGTTGAGATATTTTGAATGGATATACCTGCTTGGTTCTAATCTTTTCCCGATTCCGTCAAGTAAGAAATGTTGCACAGTTAAACTTTTTGAATAAATTGATAAAGATCCGAAGAGTTTTTTCTATTTCTCACGATTAGCATAAATTCGAAGTTTCGTGTTCTGGAACTAGAAATAAAATACTGTACTGCCAATTAAGATTTGAGATATCAAGTTTCACGCTTCACTTCCATTCAAAAGTCCGTGTGTCAGTCAGAATTAATCATGTACCGTACTTCGCCTTCCAATTTAAGATGCTATCGAACGTAATATGAGAAGTACCCGGATCTTCCAAGTCAAGTTTTGCAAATAAGGAAGTGCGCGTTGTTTAATAATAAATCCATCGTACACTGAATTCAATAACAGACAGAAACGGACTCGACAGAAGCCATTCACTTAGTCACACCTATATATAGAGAGCATAAAATAGAAAAGAAACCTGACGATCAGAAAGTAAGTGAAGCACAGCGCGAAGTACCAACACCCTTCCGGTGATCGTGAAAAATGCGTCTTGCTTGCAAAAACGAAGTTGATTCTCTCACCTGAGTGTTGATTCTGGTATGTGTCTATATATTTCGCGAGGAAGTGATGAAGTACTTTGAATACTGCCCATCATTAACAATAACATTCAGAAAATCAGGCATATGAGTTGCGAAAGGAGAATTTCCATACTAATACAATATTTTTACGATGGAATTTTATTACGTGTCATTGATCATCGGCTCATTGAATTTGAGAGGAGAGTTTATTGGATCAAGGAGATAGGCTAAAGCAACTTCTTGATTGTATATACAGTACTGTATATAGTTTCTCGTCTGCTTGATTCGATCCGTCGGATTCCGAAAAATGTGATTTCAAAAAAATTCTAGGTAGTTGATGAATCTAGGTTTAGCGTATATACATTCGAAGTAAGTGAGTGAATCTAGAAATAGCATCAACATTCATTTACGTAGGTATGTTTCGTACAATAGAATTGCTGAATTCGAAGTTTAAATAATCTCTTGTCGTTGAGACTCAGTAAATTCAAAGTAATCGTTAATCAAACTAATCGTCGAAATAACGAAAAATTGATCAGATTTATTGCCTTTTGCACAAAAGACCGTAGTCCATATCACAGATACTGAAAGAAGGATTGGATTTTCGGTTGGAATTCCTGTAGATTCACTGTTATCTTCTTCATTTAGCTGTTGAAATGGCTAGAGCAAATCTGTTTTCAGCAGCCTGAAAGTCCATTCCCTCGAGATCACACGGACAATATCTTCCTGCAAAGAAGAGCGGAGCAAAGGAGTCCGAATTATTCTCCGCTGAGAAAATGAATCACCCTCTGGAAAGATTCGTAGCCCAACGCGACGTCCCGCCTCATTCAAATAACACGTTGTGTTCCCATGACCTGGAATAGCAACCGTAAGTTATTGTAGCCGTTTAAATACATATGCCCTCGACTAGACCTGGATTTCGGGTTTGCCAAGCACTGAATCACTTGCCGCGATCGTCGTCTTCGGTGGCAAACAGGAGTGACTCAGCGAGATACGCACCGACGCCCTGCACTTGGCAACGGAAGGAGGTTGAGGACAAGGGGGCGCTGAAGAGAGCTTTTCGTCGACAGTGAGATATTCGTAACACTGTCATGGAGTTGCTCTCTTTACTGCTACCCGATCCACTTCGCCAAGAAGATACTTCGCACGAAAAACCGAACAGGAAAACGTGGTAATGCCAAAGGAACACGAACACAATCACCGAACAATAGCATCGTTGACGGGAACACAACCATCACAATGACGAACATGGGACTGCGGCTCACTGTCATGATTGCAGCGAACATATTTTGCAGTAGTACAGATTGGATATCATTGATAAAATTGAATATGATTGAATGATTGCGTCGCTTATTTCTTCGCACAAAAATATGTGCCTGTCCGAATAAGTATTTATATCAAGTACTGTTATAGCGACTATATCGCCTATGTTTGTGGATATCAATGCCAAGTTCTCACGCTGATCGTTATCTGATCTCGTAATACCGGTAAATGAATAATAAGTTGAGTCAAATTAACAAGCGGCGAAGAGAAATACAAAAGATTAATGCTGAGATACATTTGAAATTATATCTTTCTGACCCATTCCCGCAGTTGCGCCAGTATATACGCACCAGAACAGAGATACATCTTACTATCAATTCTTCAGCTAGCCTCTGGGTTAACTATAGGCACGATAATGCGTTGGAATCCGCGTCAACGAGCAAGAAACAGAATCAATAATGTGTTTCAATTGCTGATTGCAACGAGGAATAATTTCACCAGATTATTGTGACACTCAAATATATCAAACAATCAAGCATTACAGCTCCTAATCGAAACAAACCTGCACGGGGGTTAACTTAATGGAAGACTGCAATTTTCAGGCGGGCTCTTGACTGATTTTTCCACCAGTTCTTCTAAGCGGAATACAAATAATATATTGTAACGCCATTTACAATATCATCAATTGCGCAGTCGTGAAGAATGATTCCACAAATTTCGGCCAGAAAAATTGCACTCACAGACCTCTAGAAAGACATGAGCTGTACTGTAAAGCTCTGACGAGCATACAGTTTTTCATTGGCATTTTCACGAACGACGTACCGAAGTGCTTTATCTGTCTAACGCAAATAGGTGATGCATCGAAACGTGGTTGCACACAACTGAGAAATGGTTGTCCCAGGTTTCCATCAGCTTTAACGTATCTCAGCGGAGTCAGCGCCCAACCGGAAATCATCATCATCACTGTACAGCAGTATATGTAGGGCGAATTTCTGAAAAGTTTCACTTCAAAAAAATATCTATAAAACCCATCAGATATATATACAGGGTCAGAAAATATGAATAAGATTTTAAGAAGCGAGAAACAGAGAAATTGCGACAAGCTGCATTTTGACTAACCATGGTTCGTTACTCATCCATATTTAGTACGTGCTGGTGACAACAATTGCTGTTGGCCTGGGGGAGCACGTTCTATGATGGTGGGTCATTTTACTGCACATTTTTGTTTGGGACGGTTCGAATCAGGGTTAATATCCCAGGCTAGAAGCACTCCAGTACTGATTTTTTTCCTCCATTTAATGATCTCCTGATGCTGTTGATGGTTCCCGGGAATCTGGATAATTCACTTCGCAAGCTTCCTTGCGCGCCAGCGTTCAAATCCCTGCGCTCCAGGGAATAAATAGGCTTTGTTGATGTTTCTCTCCTGATTCAAATTTGCTTTTCCATAATGCTTTACTGGCCTAGTGGAGTATACTGAGTCATGTTTGAATGAGCTTTTTGCTCTGTCAAAACATCAGTGAGGAGAACTTGATCTAAAAAATGCTGAAATGATTCATCAAGTCACATGCATCCAATTGGGTGAAGTTGGCTTAAATGTGAAAAAAAATTGTTGATTAACCAGTGCAAGCATGGTCAAAAAATTGCATAGCTGTCTGGATGACTGGGGCTGATGTACTCTGAGCGAGAATAAGATGATCCAGTCTTCGCCACTGAATTTTCTGAAGTCTTGAGAGAAGAACAAAACCAGAATGTAAAATTGAAGATAAAGAAAACCTGATCTCTCGTCCTTGAATGTTGTTTAAAATGCACCTTTTACAATTTTTATTGTTACCCTTGCGGCATGCCCTTGTCATGCTAATGGCACAACGGAAATTCTCACGGAAACAATGTTTTTGTTGAGGGAAATAAATTCCAAACTTTCAGATATCATAAACTCAACTCTTACTTTCTTGAGAAGGACTCATGCTGTCGCCCTGAAGAACAGTTTGTATTCCCTTCTCATCACACACAAAAAATCAATCATTTCTTCATGAATCATTTGATCTCACAGCAATTGAGTTTACTCCCAGAACACAAGATTTAGGTTTGATAGACTAGACCCTAATTGGCAGTGAAACAATGAACTCCTCAAAATTTCAGGGAGAAAAAAGATCAAATATGTGCAGATGCCCATAATGTCAGCACAAAGACATAAGGTAAATGATTTGAACACATTTGGTGGAGCATGCTGCCATAATTGTGACTTTGAATCGTCACAGCAAGCAAAACTTGAGGAACAAATCATAAAAACATCCACTCTCTGCTCAGACACACACTGAAAGTACTTCTGGGTAGTTGGGACTGTCACCTGCACAGAGCATTTGTCTGTGGGTTCGACAAAAACATAAGCACAAAAAACAATGCAAAAAAGCAGTTTTGAGCAAACACAGGCTATCTAAACACTTCTTTTTTTTTTTTTTTACATAAAACATGCCCTGCCTACACCAATTTTGAATGTCTGCCCACTTTCCCCAATATCTCTGAGCCCCATGTCAACTATTGGCAGTCTTTGTGGCTTGTCTGCTTCAATTGAGAAGACTGTCTGTGCCCAGTCAAGTGATTTGTTCTGTAAAAAAGAGACACAGGAAAGTTGTTGGCTCATGGAAAATTTAAAATTGCTGAAAAGCCTACCTGGCAGCCATCATCTTTGACAGCATAAGTGAATCTCTTGTTTCCCTTTGCTGTCAACTCCACATCATTCCAGGACATGAACTTGGCAGAGTTCCTGAAGGAATTCCTTGCAGAATCAAAGTAAACAGTCGAATTCTTGCAATGATATGTGATCTCTTGGTCAGCCTTTGTGGACAAGAGCTGCAGGAATGCTACCTGGTTCCCATCTGCCTTGTAAGTGAACTGCAGAAAAAAAAATCAATGCAGTTGGCCACAAACAAAAGTAATCAATTCCAGGATGTTGCATAAAAAAATCACTAAAAAGATGACCTGGCTTAAGTTTGAATAAAACACATTCAATCTGTTTCAGACACTCACATATCATTGCTATACCTGACTATGTATTTCAACAAGTTATCAGAATACAATTGTCTTTATTGAATTAAGACTGTATAGTAGTAGTAGTGTAACTTGAAAAATTCAGGAAATTTTCAAGTCTCACCTTTCTGATATTCATAAAATGTTTGGGCTGAAAAATGAAACATTTTTAATCTATTGCATATTTTAGGGTGTCATTAGCATTGCCAATGAAAGCATTTCCAAAATCAAAACATGCTAAAATTAATGATTTTTAAAAATAGATTTTTTGCCCAGACAAATTGTGTTATTTGAGTCTTTTGACATTCGTGATCTGACTGCATTCATAACTTGAGTTGATCAGTACAGAGTAATGGAATTTGACAAACAACTCACAGCCAAGTTCATTTGAATTTCCTCATTGACCCAAATAGGTTCTCCTCTCTTGGTGGACATGTCACCAGCCCAAGTAACTTCCCTGCTTTCTGCTGGCTTTGGAATGAGACAAGTTGCCTGCCTTTCCATGTCACAGAAAACCATGATTGAATCATCAGGGCTGCCTTGGTTGGGATCAATGTAATACTCTCCTGCAACAATCAAAAATTGAGTTGATGATAATATGAGGGTTTTCCTCTCAGCAATTTCTTTGACATGCCTGATGGTTTATCAGGATGTGTCAAGGCAAGTTCTTTGCATGTTTTAGCAGGAGAAGCCTTTCCACCATCTGGTTTCTTGAGTTTGGAGAATGACTCTTTGAGATTTTCATATGCCTTGAAGATCAAATCCTTGCGCTCATCAGCTGGTGTGTCTGGAGAGAATATTCTGGCAGGTTCATCTCCACTGAATGGATCTGGGCCCTATATGAAACAACATTGAAGTGCTCAACTTTGGGAACTCCATTATTTCTTAAATTCAGCAAATACCTTTACAGTTCCCATGCTTTGACCAAGAAGAGCTGCCAGAGCAGCAGCATCATAGCCAAATGAGTCCCCTGGTGGTCCAGGTGGACCAGACCCACCTGGAGAACCTGGCATCCCTGGTTGACCAGGCTCACCAGGAGTTCCTCTGAGGCCTTGTGGGCCAGGAAGACCAGCTGGACCAATAGACCCATCTCTTCCAGCTGGGCCTGTTTTCAAATTTGTGGAGTCAGTTCATGTTCAATCATGGCATTCAAAGTTATCACCAAGGTAATATATAATGTAGCATGAAAACAAATTATTATTCTAAAAAAAAAGACTAAAACCACTAATTTAAAAGTTACCTTAAATTGCATTGTTCAAAAGTGATTTTCTCTTCAATTAAAAAATTAATTAACCCACCTGTCTGCATGTTCTGAAAAAAATTAATAAACTTGAAACCATGTGTTAATTGTTCCCAAAAATGAAGTTCTCAGTTCAAGACACCCACCTCTAGGCCCAGCCTCTCCATCCTTGCCAACTGGTCCAGGAGATCCTGTGAGCCCTCTTTCTCCTTGTTGGCCCTAAATAAATTGTAATTCATGTAGGTTATGAAAACTTTTTGAAATTTATTCAAATTTTGTCTTACTTGAGGTCCAGGCAAGCCCTGAAGACCAATCAGACCTCTGTGGCCCTTGTCTCCCTTGAATCCCATGGCTCCAGTGTCTCCTTTAAGTCCTTGTGGCCCAGGTGCTCCAGGCAATCCTCTGGGACCAGCTTGGCCTTCTACACCTTGTGGGCCAGCTTCTCCTCTTAACCCACGCTCACCAGCAGGACCCAGAGGCCCAGGAGACCCTGGAGGTCCCTAAATAGTTCACCAGAATTCCAGTTAGCTTTGTTCAGTTTTTGTGGCTTTTGAATGTGTTACTTGTAAGCCTTGAGGTCCAGTAGGTCCTTGTTGCCCTGGAGGCCCAGGAGGTCCTTTATCTCCAGTTCTTCCTGAAATTCCAGGAGATCCTTGTTTTCCTGCTGGACCCTCAGGTCCAGTCTCTCCCGGAGGTCCTCTCATTCCTGGTGGACCAGAAGAACCCTGAGGACCTGGTGGTCCTTCACTACCAGGTTTGCCTGCTACTCCAGGTTCTCCCTATAAAGAATACAGAATGGATCAGAGAGTTCAGATCTCTGGTACATTGAAACTTACTGGTGAGCCACGTCTTCCAGTTGGTCCAGCTAATCCTTGAGGTCCAGGTAGACCCATGAGACCTCTGTCACCAGGAGGTCCTTGAGGTCCTTGTTGTCCAATAGGTCCAATAGGTCCAGTGGTTCCTCTTTCTCCCTTCTGTCCTTCAGCACCAGGCATTCCTGGCTGTCCTTGAGGTCCATTGAGACCAGGTCTACCTGTTTCTCCTGGTTGTCCCTTGATGCCAGACACTCCCTGGGGTCCTTGTGGACCAGGTGATCCCACTTGACCCTATCATCAAACAATTGTATTGAGCAAACAATTATGACAGCAGTCTTATTGACTTTTTCAAACATACTGGTGGTCCTGGTTCTCCAGGTCTTCCTGGTGCTCCAACCATTCCAGGTTGTCCCTGTGGTCCAATTTCTCCTCTTTGTCCCTTTGGCCCAGCAAGACCTGTCAAACCCATTGGGCCAGTCTCTCCTCTTGGTCCTGTTGCAGAAAAGAGTATCTTTTAACTGTACTGAATAAAAGAGACAAAATGTTTTACATACCAGATGGTCCTGAGGCACCTTGTTCACCCTTTGAGCCAGGCAATCCTCTTTGTCCCTTTGTACCTGGAGTACCAGGTGCACCAATAGGTCCAGGAAATCCCTGATGAGGAATCATCATGAAGACAATAAGAAACTTGATGCAATTGCTTTCACTGTACTTGTAGTCCTTGTGGTCCAACTGGTCCTCTTTCTCCAGGTGCCCCAGGGGACCCAGTTTCTCCCTGTGGGCCAGGTGGTCCAGCCTCACCCTTTTCAGCTGGTTCCCCAGGTGGACCTGGGGGACCTAATGGTCCTTGATTACCTCTTTCACCCACTCTTCCAGGTGGACCTTCAGGTCCAATAGGACCAATGGAACCTCTCTCTCCTTTTACTCCTGGAATACCTGATTGTCCTCTTGGTCCAGGCAAACCCTGAAATACTTTTCCATGAAGAAATGGGGCTAATTTAATAAACCTTTTGGTGAACTTACCACCAAACCTGGGGGTCCAGAGTGACCCTTTTGACCTGTGAGTCCAGGTGGGCCCTGAAACAAAACAAGAGAAAAGGTTTTCACATTGGAATCGAAAATAAAAAAATTGCAATGCAAAAAACAAACAAACCTGTAGGCCATCCTTTCCCATAATTCCTGGCTCTCCTCTTGGCCCAGGAGCACCAGGTGGCCCTTGTGGTCCTCTGTCTCCTGGAAATCCTCTTTCTCCACGTGGGCCAGATGGTCCATCAGGCCCTGGAGGACCTTGAACTCCGGGTTCTCCATCTTTCCCAGGTGTTCCAGGGGTACCTGTTGCTCCAGGAAGTCCCTATATACAAAGTAACTTGTAGCAAAGCAAATAACCCTTGAAAGAGAAGGCAATTACTTGGAATCCTCTTGGGCCAGAAGGTCCTGTTGGCCCTCGGTCACCAGCTGGACCAGTAGGGCCAGGTGGGCCTTGGGATCCAGGCACACCATCTTTTCCTGAGTCACCCCTGGGACCTGGTGCCCCTGGTGGTCCTGATTCCCCATCTTTGCCAGGGATACCCTGCAATTTGGGATAATGTGGTCAAAATGAATAGTTCAGGGATGAAGTTTTCTCCNAGGCACACCATCTTTTCCTGAGTCACCCCTGGGACCTGGTGCCCCTGGTGGTCCTGATTCCCCATCTTTGCCAGGGATACCCTGCAATTTGGGATAATGTGGTCAAAATGAATAGTTCAGGGATGAAGTTTTCTCCAGAAATGACAGCTTACAATTGGCCCCTTTTCACCCTGAGGTCCCATTGGTCCAGGTAGGCCTTGAGGTCCTGGAGTACCTTGCTCTCCAGGCCTTCCATCTGCTCCTGGAAGACCTCTGTCTCCAATGCGTCCAGCCTTTCCCATCAAACCTGGTCTCCCTGGGAGACCCCTGAGCCCTGCAAGTCCTGGTGGTCCAGGTCGGCCGGGATCACCTTGAGATCCTTTGGGGCCAGATGATCCAGGAGGTCCAACATCACCAGTTTGCCCTAAAATGAATGACAATTTCAAATTGTAATCCTTTAAGGGCCCTCTAAATATTTCCAAGGGTTAGCATCAATGGAAATTGACACAATTAACTTCATCCATGAAAAAACAAGATGGTGACTTATTTTTCAAAGTTGAAGGCATTTGTAAATACTGTGCATCTAATCTTTTTCTGGCATTCTCTGAGACAAATTTGTATTATCCCATGGTAATTTTGATAGAATTAATTTCATCCTAGGGTTTTTTGGCATGAACAAAGAGGTCACTGACACCCCAATTTGAGATGGACAGCCAGTGAGTATAAAAACTGAATGATATTTTTTCATACTCTGTTCCCAATTATGACCTAAATCTATCAGTGTTAAACCTGATTGTTTTTCAGATCCACACCTGCTGAACAATATTGCAGGGAAAATAAGAAAACTTGTCTTTGAAACCACCTTTCCTCTTTTCAAATTTTTCAGAGACAAATACTGTACAGTATATGGAAAAAGTTCCTTGATTTTGACTAGATTTATCAGTTAGATTTCTTTAATTTTTGTAATGTATTTTAATTTCCTGTCATTACCCCTATCAAGGTTCAAATAACTAAATTGAATTTAAGTCATTATTTTCCTTAAGGTCTTTTTGGAAAACCAGGTTCACCAGGTAGTCCAGGACCTTCCGGAACACGAGGTCCGTTAGGAGAGACAGGAACGCCTGGAACTCCTGGGTAACCAGGTCTTTGTGGAGCGAAACCTACTTTTCCTGTTTCTCCTTGTGGACCTGGAAGACCTCTAGGTCCAGGAGCACCTTCTTCTCCTTTCATGCCACTTGCACCTTTGTATCCTCTTTCTCCATTCACTCCCTGGAAGAGAAGAGCAGTTGAAGATAGGAAGCACTCATAAGGGAAGAAACAAAGTCTGACTTACTGGTGCTCCCTTGGCACCCTGAGGTCCTGGACTCCCCATAGCCCCAGGAGGTCCTCTGGCTCCTGGGAACCCAGGGGGACCAGTTTGGCCAACTGCTCCAACACTACCTTTCTCTCCAGTGGCTCCATCTAGACCAGGAGGTCCAGGTGGTCCAGGGTCTCCAGGGATGCCAGGTTTTCCAGCCTCACCTTTAGTGAATGAATGAACAGAACACTTTATTTTCCGCTTTTCAGCATTCACAAGGCACAACCAAGACTCCCGCATCCAAACCCCCTCCCCACCCAACCTTTAGTTGATCAAAAATAATTGCAATTTGCTTTGAAAGCTTTGAAAGAATCTGATGGATTTTCTTACCTCTGGGCCCTTGCATTCCAACACTTCCCTTTGGTCCAAGGGGTCCTTGGTCTCCCTTGGCTCCAGGGCTTCCTGGGAACCCTGGTGGCCCGGGCTTGCCAATGTTTCCCTTAAAAAAAAGTTATTCAGTCAGACTTAGTTCATGAAGATGCACTTTACAGACTCACTGGGGTACCAGGTGCTCCAGTCATGCCATCCAAACCTCTGATACCTGGTGGACCTGGTGGACCATCTCTTCCTCTTTCTCCTCTGGAACCAGCTGGCCCCTATTGTTGAAAGTAAATAACATGTAGAAAGATACAAATATTTCAGTGTTACTTTGGTTTCAAGAGTTGTGCACTAACCACTGGTCCTTGTGGTCCCATGGCTCCTTGAGGTCCAGGTGAACCCTATTGATATTGAAAGGAATATGAATAGGGTTTCAAAACAAAAAAGTATCAAAAATCACAACCTTTTCTCCCATTGGCCCTTGCTCTCCCTTTGCTCCATCAAGTCCAGAGAACCCACGGTGACCTTTAGGTCCAGGTAGGCCAGGCATGCCAGGCAAACCTCTACTTCCTGGGGGCCCAGGACTACCAGTTGGACCTGGAAGTCCATCATCACCAGGAATTCCCTGTAAAAGATAATGAATATTTAGACCAGAATTTGCCATTGAACTGGCATAGTAGCTAACATCTTTGCCAATTGGTCCAGGGAGTCCTCTTGGTCCAGTGCCACCAGGTGGACCAGGTGGCCCAACATCTCCAGGTTCTCCTCTGGCCCCTTGGAACCCTTGAGGTCCTGGTGGACCCTGTGGGCCTGGAGGCCCTCTGGCACCAATTGGACCTACTTGAGCTTGCAAGTAACTCAGTGCATCCACTCCAGGACCCTTGTTAGGACCACCTTGTGACTGAGATAGTTGAGAAATCCATGGTGAAATCTAAAAAGGGGAGAATAAAGGTGAATGTATTATAGTTTGGTGTATGAAGCATGTTCAGCATATTATCACATCAGGGGATGGTCCTGGAGGGCCTGGTTGTCCTGGGGTTCCATGCAACCCTGGTGGTCCAGGTATGCCAGGAGAACCTCTTGTTCCTTGTTCACCCTTGTAACCTGGTTCACCCTAAACGACAAAAATCCATTGATTTTGTTGATAACATATCATTGACCCATTTTCTAAAAATGTCAATATCTTACCCTTGGACCAATAATCCCAAATGCATCAACTTCTGTTCCTGAAACTTCGCTTGGTGGTTCAGATGATGACTAATAACAGAACAATTATAAACGTTTTCAATCAGAGTAAAATCGTAATAGATAAAACAATGAAATTAGAAATGGTTTGGTGTGGACTATGAAATGAAATTTGAAAGTCACTCACTGGGAGAATCGTTTCTGATGGCTGGGGTGTCTGAGGGAACTCCACATCTGCAAATATTTAAAAGAAAAAAATGTTATTAAGATAGCTTTGCCAACACTTTTAAATATGTTCATTGCTGTACATAAACATAATCAATATACTGTACTGAATTTTTAAATTTAATCTTTGCCAAGGAATAAAACTTTCAGTTCCTTAAAGGGACTTTTCTCATCAGTATTTATTTTGATACGCTTTCTTAATCTGTCTGAATTTAAAAATGACTTATGATTGTAAAGATGTATACTGTATGAACTTATATGGATTCTGCCCAAGTATCCTTAAATTATTCTTCTTGCTGAAAAAACACTAAGTCTTTGGGAGAAAGAAATATTTTTCAGCATATGTAACCATAACATTCTTCTGTCTAATTCCTCCTAATGATGCAAATATTTTTGATAATTATGCAAACATCATGGATGAAAGACTTTCAAAATGCAGTGCTCATTACCAAACTTTAACTGAAAATGAGAGACCATTTCATGTGGATGGGCATACATGCATATACTCTAAAAACCAATTATTTCAAAATGCTTTTTTTCAAACCAAAATTTTCTATGAAAAGAATAGTGAATAATGAAACATAAAATAACAGGAGAAGATACAGGAAGACATTTTTTAAAGCAGGACATATTTCTTCCACAAAGATATTTTGTCATGTTCATTTTTTCTTGCGTAAGTTTTGTTTTGTTTTTGTTTTGGCTGAGTGGAAACTTAATGCTCAGTGATTTGGCCAAACTGCATTCTCTTGTGTACACAAGTACAGGTTCTGCCTGGCAATTCAACTGTTCCAAAATTTGATATTCAAATTTGCTGGGAGGTCAACTCTCAATTTGACCTCTGCCGCGCAATTTGACCTGCAGAGAGACATGAAACATCAAATGCCAAGTAGAAACATGTCATTTGACATTGTCTCGCAATTTGGTTGCTTTGCAATTTGACCCTAGTCCAGCAATGGATTAGTGTCAAATTACAAGGTACCCCCTGTACAGTTCAGTACAATGAATCCCAGTATTGAAACACTACTTCATTCCAACATCAGATTTATTTTCTTAAAAAGAAAAACTTCATTTCCCTCCAGTTATGTACAGTATTATTGGAAAAGGTTTAATACACTTCAGACAGTCACAAGATATGATGAAAAGACTGCAGATACTTGTTTATTTAGTAAGTCAATTACAAGTTTAAAATGTATTTGGATGAAATTGAAGCAATCCCAAAAATTTTAAGCTTATCTATTTACTTGAATTCATGCATCTTTGGGGATGTAAAAGGTGACTTTCCCCTTTCTTTTTGTCAATCCTTTATTGATTTAAAAAGCAGAATTCCAAAGTTTTAACTTGAAATTAATTAAATTTGTGCAATTGTTTCTGCCTGGAGACTTTTTTTTACGCAAAACACATCTGTTGATCATTTCAGAAGAATTCCAAATTTTGCTGTTTGAAATTTTTTTTCTTCATGCAGACAAATTTGTTGTCTTCATGAAACCTGTGATGAGAGACAATAATAAGAGTCCTCTTTTAACATCCAAGGAGTGAGGATGCTCCAGCTTCTCTCATTTTTCTGCAGCCATAATGTAGTTTTGTACTTTTAAAATTAAATTCCCTTGGAGGCTGGGTAACTGCCTCCGCACTCAGATGTCTTTTGCATCTGTAATGTTTTTAATGCAGCTTAAAATCTGCAATAATCGATCATCAATTAAAAGCGTAAATTCGGATAATTGGTTCATTTTTTGTTTTAAAAATCCACCTGGTAAAATTTACGGAAATCGGGAACGGATTTTAGATAAAAAGAATTTGAATTACAAACCTGGTACTTGAGTGTTTTTGACAACTGCAAGGGTTCGTCGTTCTTGAGCCACGTGACTTTGGCTGACGACTGGGAAGAAACCCAGCACTCGACGGACGCGTCCTGGCCCGGGTCCAGCTTTTCTCCTTTTTCTGCAGCCATAATCTAGTTTTGTACTTTTAAAATTAAATCCCCTTGGAGGCTGGGTAACTGCCTCAGCACTCAGATGTCTCTTGCATCTGGAATATTTTTAATGCAGCTTAAAATCTGCAATATTCGAGCCAATCTTCATATACACAGGGAAATCGCAGGAATGTTCGGCTCGTGTATATACAGAATGTGACAACACTGCTTGAATAACCCATGTGGGGGGACTGAACATATAGTACAGTACTGCTGGCGGTTCATCAGAGAGTGGCTAGTTCGGTACGACACTTTTTGACGTACCAGCGCAGACGGGGCAACACTGTCCAAGCGGCACGTAGGACTGAGTGGCGCAGTCCACCTCCGGACAAATGACGTACTGGCAGTCGATGGGCGAATCACCGCCCGGACTGGAACCCGTGGTGGGCGCCGCGGCGGACCCGCACCCACTCACAGTTTCGCAGTTGATGGCGCCGCGGTCGCACATGCACCGCGTGCAGTCGTCCGGCCGCCACTCGTCGCCGTCCCGGTACGATTCGCCTTCGAAGGTGCATTGCGGCGGCGACGGGGGCGGATCTGGTTCTGACACTATGTACGATCATATACGAAACACGCAAAAGTCAATGGTTATAATTTTTTTTTATTTTTTTTATAAACTGCTGAAGAAAAAGAGGCCTGACTGCAGCAGAGTCTCACCCATCTCTGCTCTCCTCAATCATCTGCTGCATCGTCGATGGGCGCCCAAATTTTGAAATCAAATAGTGTACTTTTAAATCAGTTTAGTAAATTCGGAAATAATTTTCACATATATATTTTAGAAAATTTTTTATATTTTATTATATATTTTAGTATATATTTTAGTATTTATTTTAGTATATATTTTAGTATTTATTTTAGTATATATTTTAGTATATATTTTAGTATATTTATGCTTTCCTATAGCAAAGTGCAGGTGTCTTTGAGGTAAAAATAATAGTTGACCACATTCATGCAGCATTTTAATTTGTTTTCAAAGAGTTTTACAAGCTCAAGACATGATTACTGTCAGAAAAAAAATTAGCTATGAGAAAAATATGTTTTGCTATGAGAAAATGAAATCAATTTATGATTTTTTTGGTACTGCTGGTGAAAAGAGGCATATTTTCTATCTTTTGAGTCAATGAAATGGATTTTCAGCCTGCAAGCATTAATTCTGGAAGACATCCTTGGCTGAAGATATTTCTATATAGCCTCCAAATGCTTGAATATTTCAAAATGAATCATGCATTCAATGTTTCCCACAGTTGAATATATTGCAGGTGATGCATTATTAACCCTTGTGTGGCAAAGTCAGGATATCTAAGCAAAATGTTGTCCCCATGAGGGCTGCAAATTAAAAATATATTATTTTTGAACCAAAGCCCAAGTCAGGAAGAAGTTGAATATTTTGTTATAATCATCCTGCAGAAAATTTTGGCTTGAAAAAATTTATCCCTGGGTGGCATTTTTTCATGCATTCCCAGCATAGGATTAACATTGGGGATTTCTTGAGACAATTGGATTTTCTTCACCCAGATTTTCCCCAGCCTTGGCAACCTAGGGACATTTCAGTGACCTTTGGACAAGCTGAAATGCCCCTCCCCCCCCAAAAAAGTCCTTACTTTGCCACAGGACAGCCAGGAACCCTCTGCAACCCAAGGGTTAAAATGTGAAAGAATGATCAATTTCAAACAAACACATCCTCATGCCAACTGGGGATATGGTGACTCCACCTAGTAATTTATGCATATACTGTAACAATGGTTGAAAAGCCCTGACATATTAATTTTCCATTGAAAATCCAATACATGTACTACAATTTGATACAGTATACCAGTTAATTTTGTCTTTGAGTCTCTGTGTGTGTATGACTCTTTCAGTGTTTCCCTTGCATTAAATTTATAAATTTCAGGTCAAAACTGGTCCTTTGAGAACAAATATACACTGTAAGATTATGGATGGTCTTTCAATTTCTGACAAGCTATCATTACAAATGCTAAAAATCTTTCAAAAAATGTTGTGCATGATTTCCAGGATGTGGTGCTCATCCTTCTTTTTTTCTTTTTTAAACATAAAACAAGGTATGCTTGGTATGTCAAAGTGTGCACTTATTGATTAATTTGTAAACCCATGCTGTTTGTGATTTGGGTTATTGATTGGTCATTTTTCTCTCGCCTCATTCAAATATCCACACATTTACAAAATTTGTGTGAACCTTTGAAATTGTATGCCCTGTTTTTCAATTATGGTGGTAATGTACATTTTTTTGGCTAATTTGTTGTCTGGTTTATTTTTTTTAAACCAATAAATGCTTTAAAGTTTAGATTGCAGCACTGAATTTATGTTCTCTGTGAAATGATATTAAACGAATCCTAAACTGTGCGCATGTGACTGTTATATATTTAGTGGTATACTTTTTTTGAGCAAGTGAATGCATACAATTTTTTTTATATTAACGGTTATCATTTTGGTTCCAGCAGTGACTTATCTGGAATCTTCAAATTCCTCCTCCAATGAAATAATTTGACATTTTGTCTTCATTAGCCTGGCTACACCAGTATAAGCTTTTGCGAATGTGCAAAAACATCAGCCATTCCTTCCAAATAATTTGATCTCGGAAATTGTTGGCAGATCAGCAGAACATCTGAGAGGAGTCGACCAACACCACAATATATAGGAAGGGAAAAGTTTCTAACCTCAAAGATTGACTTTAATGTTTAAATTAAACACCTTTCTATCGAAAATATGTTTTCTTGAAATAAACCCGACAAGCCTGCAGCTTAACTTCAATCTTATTAAAAAATCTGTTTTAATACGAACGTTTTTGATGCGCCTGAATTGTCAGGAAATAACTTATTTTTAATTTGTTGTATGGTTTAAAAATGTAAGCAAAAACTTTGAAAACCCATATTCTGGCTTTAGAAGATATGATTGCTTTAATGAGAGATTTTTTGAGACCTTTAAATCCTTCGCTGCTCATAGGAATTATAGGATCTCTGGAATACAATTCATTTGGCAATACAAGTTTTGCCGCTTCTCAGTTTGACATATATTTTTGAGCAACAAGTTTCGTGAGTGATCCTTCATACGGATTCAAATATATTTTGCCAAATAAGTTCACAGTCACTCCGAATCGAAATACTCGTTTCGAAAACTGCTCAAGTAGCGCACTCGTACAAATCTGAACGCACATATGAGTTTCCTGTTTCTCACGCGCACATAGGTGTCGCTCTTATATATTCTAAAAATGTTCAGGGATGCTAAAACGCAGATGTCAACCATTTTTTTGCGGTCGACCAGATTAGAAATTGGGGCGATTCATCGAGAAAAAAAATTCTGAAATTTCTGGAAAACTTTTTAAACTGGTAAACTCACCTGATGCAGTGTCTCCTCTTGTGGGACCAGGTGGAGGAGCTGGTTCCTCTCTGTCAAGGTCTTCTGGTGGTGGTGGTTGTGGTGGTGCAGCAGTAGGCTTTTTGCCTATTGA